CGCAGCGCGGGTTATCAGACACATTTATCTCCGAAAACTGCCATTGGAGGGAGGCTGTTGGCACATTATTTGATTCCCAAGTACATCGGGTCTCGTGATGCTTGTTTGGTGGATTGTGGCAGGGATCATTGTTGGAATACCCAACTTAACGATGGGCAAACATTGTTAGCTTGATGCAGGTAAGCTTAGATTCAAGCTGCCCCGAAGAAACAATATTTTAAGGCAAGCAGACTGAGACTAGAGAAGCTGAAAAATATGTAGCAACCAGAAAGTTATAGCATACACAGAAGAAGTGCCCAGAGAACGTTAATAGATCCTTTGCATTAATGGCGTCTAAATTTGAATAACAATAGTTTATACATCCTTAGCCTCGTACTCATGTTTGAAGACAAAGGATTTTTTTTTACATGAATGTGAGGCTAAGGGTGTATTATTATTGTTATTCAAATATAGGCGCCATTTATGCAAAGGGTATATTGAGGAAGGCATAGCGTGTTATACAAGGGAAGAGATCTTGGAGTGATGCGGTGAAAAGTCCTGCAGGTGCTACTACTGGTCCAAGAAGGTGACGAAAGTGGTGGAGGGAGGAAGACAGCCAAAGCAGCTAGTGGTCTATTTGGAAGTTTAAGCAGGCAAGGAGAAAGAGTACATTAAATAGACAGCTAAAGACAGGTGAAGCATGGTCAATGGAAGACAAATGGAAGCGGATGGCTACATAGTCGCTGACATGGAAGAAGCAACTAAGGAGGGGATAAATAGGCAACTGTATCAGTAAGTGAAGCGGTTAGGCAAGGCTAGTAAACCCTCCAAAGATACAGCGAGTGAACGCAATGAAGCTGGCTATTTCGATGAAGTCTTGAACCGTACTCACCACAGACGATGCTACAAGAATTGACCCTTTTGGGACACTCCTTGAGTTTCAGGAAATCCACCATCCAGAAAAGAGCAGGAGAAAACAATTCAGAAACCTAGGAACAATAAGTTCCCTGGAATAGCTTGAAGATGGGTGTGGCACTTTGGACAGCTATAGCGTATACCCGGTGGTTGGTTTCCACTGCTCTAATGATAACTGCCCTTTGCAAGAGATTCCACGAATAATTTGCAGGTATAGGCAGACGCACTGTTTTGGCCATCGAGCAAGCATGGGAACTGACTGACCTAGACTACGCTGGCAATGCTACATGATTCCGGGATGTGGTAATAAAAGTTGTCAGCAGTTCCTGCTCTTATTGCAGAGCGCTGAGGAAGAAGTCTGCCACATTGTCCTAAAGGTAAGACCAGGGCCATGGCCATGTGGAGAAACTGAAGCAAATGTAAACCTAGTGGAGGAGTCGACGGCGGATTGAAAAAGAAACTGAATGTCAGGCCATTCAGCGACATGCTGAAAGCTTTTTAGAACTTCGATGAGCAAAGATATCTTCAAGAACAAACGCTGCATTTATCATGTCAGGGACTTGAGCGGCCATTGCCACTACCTCTTGATTCTCTCTGAAACAACTGCCACCACTGCATGTCATGCATAAAGAGATTTGGCCGCGTCTCTCGTATGGGTCGGTGAAGGCTTTGAAGCCGCAACGCAGGTCTAAACCGCAAAGCAGTGTGGCCATTACGTTCAAATGCTTAAAATTTGCAAGCTTACCGTCTTAACTGATGTGATGTGTTTGACATGTAGTCGAAACATCATTGGATTTCGGTTAGAAGTTTTCGGAAATTTTGCATTTAATTTTTCAAAATTCTTCCTTCATGTTCACGAAATGTTTGGATCCGCCGAAATCTTCACCCGACCTTGTAAAGAACTATGTTAACTTGGGTCGTCGCTCGGTGGGTTAATAAATGGCCTAGCTTGCCGTAAGTCTCCTGTAGCTAAGTGAGTTTGGGCATCCCACCGGTGTGCAGAAGGTCACGGGCTCGTTATTTCCCTTACTTGTGACAACTGAATTTACATCTTTCTCAAAAATGTAGCTTTTAACAATAAGATACGATTAAGCTTTTTTGAAGGCTCATATTATTATCTCGTTACACTAACCTTGCGCCTGATGTAAGAGACTGTGTCATTCAAATAGAAACTTGTCATCTCAAGAACGTATACCAAACGACTATGGCTGGGTCCTTGATCGTGTTCGTACATGAAGGCAAAATTCAAAGGACGAATAAACACAGCCATCTGCGAAAACAATGCGCCGAGCTTGTCATTTGCCTGAAAATAAAAAAAAAGTTCATGACGGGAAGTTATCATCATCCTTGACTGTATTAAGGAGAACAACGAAGACGATGTTGGAATCCACGTTTCTGAACGTTTGCAAAAGAGGTTATGTTCTAGTGTGTTCCAAAGTATGCTAGGTTCTTGAAACGATCCATACTTAAATTCCTTGCATAACTTTGTTTATGCGATTTCTAGTGATATATTTATTTATTTATTTATTTATTTATTTAAGTCTAACATTGCACTGATAAAAACCTTTCCCAGCCATGTACCTGCTTTAATCTGCTTTATGAAAGTCAGACGTCCTCAGGAACACTGTGTACTACTAGTCTTCTTTCAGAAAACAGATTGAAATTTTGTCCACTGAAGTAAATAAAAGTAGATTGACACGAAGAAGACAGCAATATGATCCTTAAAAGAGCAAAGGGCGCAACTGAATGTCCGCATACTGATTTTCAAGATTCGTTTCGTGAAGGGATTATGCTCAGTAATCCGAGTGCATCTCAACTTAAAACTTGCAAAATCTTTTCATTTGGGACAAATCAGTATTGCATAACTTTCTGGTGCTGTCTGGCTATTCCATGTATTCCAAATCAATCATGGTTAAACGCACGTCACAAATAAAACACATGGTAAACGATGCAGATAAAGGCATTGTAAGTTAATATTCTTAGACGTTTCTAAGGTTTTAAAGTATTTGTGCCCAACCCTGACCTTTTTGTTCGATATATTTGGTCTTCATGCATATTCTCCGTTGTTCTTAGTTGTGACAGTGATCAAATGCTTATTCTGAATATCTTATAGGAATAGATAATTGATCAGCCAGAGTAAGGAACTACTATGTCTTGGCACCGACTTTTTAACTGCAAGGTCAAAGGATTTGTTCTAGCCAGTATTGAAAATTTTCTTGGTTGTTTAAACATGATTAGCGATAAAAAAAAAATACGTTACTACAAATAGAAGATTAAAGTTACTACAATACAAGTAGCATGCACAAAAAATGTACTTAAAATAGCAGCAACTAATTTTGCAAATATACCTGATAGGTTTTGAAGAGAATGGCCTTCAACTTAACATGGAAACTTTTTCGAACAAAAGGACGCCGATTGCATAAGATTAATTCGAATTTACCGTGACTTTTACTAGTAACTAACTTTAAGTGAAAAGGCGTTATCATGTTTATTTTACAGCGCAATTGACATAAATAACTTGAACTAAAATTCACAGAATAAGGTAAACGGGCCACGTTAGATGAAAAAGAAAAAAAAGCGGCAGGTCATTTTCTAGGCAAATTCTGCATTGCAAAAAAAACAAAAAAATTCTTTTTACCTGCAGCTGTTGGCCGATACAGTCCTTGTTAAGATCAAGCCCAAGAGTAATGGGAGGCTCATAAAGATAGTCCGAGGAAGTAATGAAAGGGTAGAACGTCTTCATCTGTAACAACAACAGCAAAAAATACTTTGTGTAAACTTCGTTTTGCACCTGTCATATACAAATTACTCAATAACAATTTTACCCACAAATTGGGGATCAACTTTTAAAGTGTTTCTGTTTGGTTCCTCTTTTCATTTGATCCAAGTATAGCAACAGAGAAAGAAAAGTCTGATTAAAAGAATTACTTCTAGTCAGTATGTAACCTGCGCAGTGACGTTAATAACTCTCGGAGCAATCAGCAGTGTGACCATAATCTCTGTTTGGCTCATTGAAGTGCTTGTTGAAGATGAATTCGTTGCGGTAGTGGCCGACGTTGTGCTCAGCAAGACAACAACCAGGGCAACAAACAAGTTCTTCGTCAACTCCATTTCTGAAAAAACAAAGAATAAAGAAATATTGATTTGTTACATTCTTGGAGGAACATTTTAATATGAAATATGAACACATTTCCAGTATATGGAAAAGGTAGGCAGGTACATCCGCTGGACACTTATTTTTCATTTGTTGTTGCATAATTTAGTTTTTGCGTTCCATTCTTATCTTTTCCCATCCCACCCTTTGTTCGTCTTTTGTCATATTAACCGACACCTATCATTCTACTCCAGGCGTAATGCTAAATGCAAACTTCGCTTTCCAAGTAAAACACTTTGTTAGGCCTTATATGCAGAAAAAGTATTTCAGTTGTTTGCAATGAATAAATTGATCGTACGATGTATCTAAGAGACCTAAATCTATATTACGAGATAGAGCGCAGTATAGCAATTTGGACCACTGTCATGGCTTGCGTCACCGTGTAAAGCGTTTGCATAGAAGCGCCGTTAACCATAATACACACAAATCAAAGATATTCTTTTGTCTGAAGTGTTCACTAAAGTGAAAAATTCATTAATCGACTCTGAGAAAGCTGAACTGAGCAGTATTACTCAACTAAATTGCTTTTCATTTCTCCTTTTCTGTCCATAACAATTCAACATGCCATTGCGTTTGTTTACTTCATGAATCGATGCCAAATTTGTAGATGTAAGGGGATTTATTTCCTCGTTCTTTTTGCCAATGAAGTATTTCCTGGTACACATTGTCTGTGTGTTGATTTTATGTGCGCGTGCTACTTACCTTTGGCAGATTAACGTTGGAAGAACGCTTCTGTTATTTGCGTGTTGCTTTGATCTGGGGCAAGGCTGAAAACTGAGATTGCGCGGTTACTGTATGTCTCAACTCCCATGTTCCTTTGATCACTTGGAAAATTGTAGAACTCAAATATGAGTTGGGCCATGGGGATCGCAATCTTCAATAACCTTTTCTGTTTGCTGGAAAGATAATAAATGTTCTGTGGTTGCTTGGGTATAGAACAATTAGAAAAATAGAAATATGGTGAACAAAGGTCAATTTGGGAAAAAAGTAGCACTCTTCCTCGAGCCAAGGCATTTTGTGTGCTACAACGACCAACGAAACTATTGCATGGCTTTGTTTAAATGGTGGTAATGTTATGTTAGCATTTGAATAATAAAAAAAAGGTTACTATTTTTTCATTTTCTTAGTCTCTTTACTCGCTCTGCAAATTTTAGACTTTCTGGTGACCAAAAAGCATTTCTTGGGGGTTAATACAATTCCACTAAAATGTGGTACGACTTTGTAGTCCTTTGCTGTTTCTGATAGTTTTTTTTTCGTGATTTTATATAATTCTAAAACAGATCCACCTACCTCTCAATAGCTTGTACTTGCTAGATTTATAACTTCAAAAATAATCTTAACCCCAAGTCTTTCAGTCCATTCTCCCTAACTGTTGTCAATTATTACCGTCATCGTGAATGGCATGGCAAGGTTTCTTGGTTTCTGTGTTGCTCATGAATACTTCGGGTTTTAGTTCTGTATTCGCCTGGTTCAAAGTTGTACCACTCAAATGTTAACCTTAGGTTTGAGGAAATCTTGTTAGTCTTACAAATTTGAAAGTAATATCAGTTGAATTAAACACTTTATAAACACTTTAAATGATTGTGCTTGGCACACGTTTTACTTAGCAGCTATCGAGAATAAATGCCAAGGTCTTACTTGGACGAATTTTTCCTTTGTCGTTTTCTTTGTTCCTTTTTTGACAACACGAAGGTTGTAATTCTTTACTTCTTTTGAACCCATTTTTTGACAATATATCAATACGGTGTTTAAAGTTTTGATAGATATAAAAAGGAAAAGTTATCTCAAAGAAATAATAATGTTTTTGAAGTTACCTTTCTCCCTTCTATAGTCAGTGTTGTGCTGGCGTTTCTATTGTTATCACTATGCTCTCATTTTCGCCACTGAACAGTTTCTCTGTACTGAACATCTCTTTTGGCGTCATGGATGTTTTCTTTCGCCGTGACTGTTATTTTGTGTACATTGTACTCGACACCTTTCCTTCAAGGACACGTGGATCAAGACTAGAAAGATAAATAATGTGTTATAAATTAGGGTGTGCAATGTGGAAGAGGAGCAAAAACTAGGGCATCAATTTAGAAAAATGTTTGTGAACTTGGCTATGTTTGCAATCAATCATTATCTTGTTAGCTAATATGAGAGTCTTTGTCTCTATCACGTTGCTGCACAGAAGTGAATATTTATCATATCTGAGTTACCCAAAGATTCAACTGTTTCTTACTAGGAAACTGGCAATCAGTAACAATCATTTTGCTTTTAAGGATAATTGTTTACAAATTTAACACTATGATTATTGCTGTCAATGATTTAACAGCCTAATCTACCTAATCTACCTTAGTGGTTCATAATTTAGTAGCCTTTTTAGCTGTTTAAGTTGTTTGTAGACTTCTTAGTAGTTTAACGTTTATTGCACAAACTTTGGACTACCCTTAACAAGCTTTAAATGACCTCAAGCAGTTTTAACAGTACATAGCTCAAGAAACTTAAAGTAATAACTCAACTAAATGTATTCTATAATACCATGTATTAGTGCCATGCATGTTAACAGTGTTTATATTTAAATTTAAATCTAAAGTTCTAACTGTTTAGAATTCTTAGAAATTATTTAATTATCCAAAAACAAATTAACAATTTGTTACAATTAAAGACATCATAAACTTGAACCATCTAAAAATTGCATAGAAAAGTAAGTAATGCTTTTTTCCAGGAGCAGTTTGCTCTCATTAGTCCTCGATCTGTGAAGACCTTTAGTAATTGGTATCTAATTAAATGATTGTCTTTGCTTATTTGAAACAAATTAGATGGTAATTACTTCAACATTTTGCTATTATTCTTAGGATAACACTGTTTACAAGGTATGGTTCAGAGAAACAAATATTCTATTCAAATTACACCAAGGAATGCAACAATATGTTTAAACACCAACTTGACCTGGACACTCCCCACTTCAACTAAAGAATTATAATGTTATTATCTACTTTAGGAAGATACGACCATTAAAAGGTCTGTATTATTGAAAATATATAAATGTGTGTGTATATCAATTAGACTGCATAATAGATTATGCTGGAGATGTAGAGGTATATTCTGACAAAAAATTATTCTTAATTACATGATTTCAAATACGTGGCGTAAGTGGAAAGAAAGGTTAAGCCGGATGGCAATTGATTGGTATGAAATCAAAACAAACATATTATATCATTCACTCCCTTTATTCCTCCATCGTCTAACTGATCACGTCTTCTGATAGACCGTGGACGTTTTGCAGTGCCAAACAATCCCATGCCAGTTTCAAAGTTGTTTTTGCTCTGTACAAAAAATATTGTAAATATGTACTCAGCCAAATCAGCAGTTACAAGCTAAATTGAAAGAAGGATCTGTAACATTGTTTTCCGATGCAATGTTTTGTTCCATTTCAAAACCAAGTCAATGCACAACAAACGAATACTTAATGTAAATAAGTATACAGAAAATTTGTGTATGATTTCTTTGTAGTTGTTGTATTAAATGTCGTGTCCTTGAAGTTATGACATTTAGTAGTTTATTACATTACGAGGAAAAAATCTATGTTTAGTTTTATTTTTTAACAGCCTGTTTGACGGAGCTGTTTTGTCATTTTTAAAGCATTTTTCAGAATTACCACAGAGAGAAAAAGACTTTATTGAACTCTTCCCTGAGCTGCTTTTCGGTTATCAATACAAATTATGTTAAAAAACTGAAATAAATTAATGTATATATAAAAACGATGCATAAAAGCATATGTAATTCTTTATCACAACTCTGTATTTAAACGTAGGATACAGCCTCCCATAAATATACACAAGGCATGTCCTTATGAGTTTGTTACCTGCCCTTCCTTTTAGTAGTTTTGCTCAATTAAATGGCTCTTCACATTTCAATTTCGCACTAACCATGGTACATGTACCAACCTGCCGTTTTTTCTGGTTAAAGTTTTTGGCAGGACTCTTATGGCAACCATGCTTTTAACAGGTACGAGTTCACTAGGATTGGCTGCAAGATATTTTGCAGTTCATAGCCTGTAAATACATTATCGTTGGCTATAGTTTTGCAGGCAATATAAGCCACTTTATTATGTCAGATTTCTTAGTAATATTTCTAATCCACTCCACAAATGAATTCCTGCGACTGACCACTCTGATAGGCATGAATATGGTCTAATGCAATAACAAATTAAGTAAACTCAGTTTATAACATGCCGCTCGAGCATCTAATTAATTGCGATCTAGGTCGTATCGATCTCGACATGAAAATAGAATAGGATAAAATAAAATAAGTAAAAAGCATTGCCCTTTAGATGAAGGTGTAATAACTTGATTACAGCTGGCTAAATTGAACAAGCAACGTTTTTTGTATGTTGTCTTTCTCTGAATAGAAGAGGTCAGAATAATAAGACCTTCAATCCTTAGCAATGTCCTTGCTCTAATTGATATAAACTAGTAGCTTCACTGTTTAAATGTTTTTAATGCACCATTTATTTCTATTACTTACCTCTGTAACTCGCACGTTGAACTGAGACCACTGTATTATAGTCTTCCAACCAATGTACCTGTTTCATTGTCACGGCGTTCTCCCGTTTGCTTGTTATTGGTTATAATGTTACTTGACTCTTGAACACTGTTGTGTATCTTAAGTTTCCTGGTGTATACCTCTTTAAGTTGTTGTGAGTTACAAATTATAATATTTGCTTGGAAGAAATCCTCCTCGATCGTTAATGCACTCCTCCGTTGTTGTTTTGAAGTGAAAAGGGGATTTTCGGAGAGCGAGCTTTAATAGTCTTTGTGATTCTTCGAAACATGGGAAGTTTGTTTAAAAACAATGACATTATTCAGGGAAACATTTTTGAAAATCTATTTAGTACTACATTTGACTACAATTTTTTCGTTCAAGGAGGATTCATAGATGTTGAGTTTCACTAGAATAAGCGTTGTATTTAAAATAATTTTGATGGAAATTGTAGTTAGGCTCTCGTTCATAGCATGCAGTAACGAGTACGTACAAACATCTTCTAATATCTGAAATGAGTTCGCTCCCTTGTTTTGTCGTTTTAGAGTTATTTATCTTAAAATAAATTTACTCGCGTTTATTGTCTCTACGCTTTTATAATTGGGGGCTACAAGAAACCCAGAAACGCCTCGCAAATACGAGTGAGGTCGTTCACTTGTTCAACCTTGTCCGCCTAATTCTTTAGTCTGCAATACCGTTCAACTCCTATCTCTTTTAATCTGCAGTACTGTTCAACCCCCTTTACTTCTCTTTAGCTTTGTCAAAGAAAATTTGATCGTGAGAAATGAGAATGAAGTAAAACCCAAATTCTCCTAAAGGATCAACAGAAAAACAGAAAATCTATTTACAGGCAGTAAGGACAATTTCTATAGGCGAATCTTTGCTGACGTCGTTGTTTACATTTTTCCTCATTAACACACGACTTTGCGCATAGAAGGCATCATGCTAGACACGGTTTTACTAGAAAAACGTAAAGAACTTGTGAAACTTAGTAAGTGGTGAAATTTTTGGCTCTTTGGGTGCAATATTCGAGGAGAAATTGGCTTTCAAAAACATCAAAATTTCTGTGTGGCAAAAGCGCAAATGAGCTGATACATTCTTTGTAAAATGTCGAGCTTTTAAACCCTCGTCACACAAAAAGTACTCAATACATCGCGCTCAAGTTCCTTGGAACAGTTAATAGTCCTGTGCGCTTTCAATATTCAGTATTAATCTCTTTGTAGCTCCATCTGAAACTGTATCGCTTATGGTAATGAGGCAAATATTGTAAACAAAGATTCTCCTACTGTGACCTTAGGTCCGATGGACTTAAAGGGTTAAATATTCACATCCTGAAAGTTGTTCTCCATCATCATTGTCACTTTATTTTATTTTAGAATTTCAATCTTAATTTTTTTCAAGCCAGTGTTAAAACCAATTTTGTTTAATCAATCCCATCATGTTATCACACAGCCCATAAATGCATGTGTTAAAAAAACAATCACTTGATTTATTATTCATTTCCTTCTATTTGGCATTCACTATCGATTCAAACTTTAATTTCAAACCTGAAATCGCAAATCTTATTCTTTTATCTTAAAAAAAATACGTTATTACTTTTCAAAAAGTATTTTTGTTTTTATTTTGTTGGTCATGTTAAGCTTTTCTTAGAGTTCTTTGACATTCTAAGTTCTAGGTTCATATTTCACTTCTTTTGTCATGTAATAACATAGCATTGTTTTGAGTAATTCTTTTCTCAGAAAACTCCAAAACGTTTCTCAGAAATCATTTATTTTGTTAAATGTTGATCTGAGATAAAATAGCTAGGACGACGCTCCTCCCACTTTAAAACCACAAAGTAACGCAAGGCAGCAAACATTGCCATTATATGCAAGTCACTTCTACTTTAAAATGCAGAAACTAAATTATCATAAATGTGTTTAACTTAAGCTTAGGAGTGATATTAAAGCAATGCATGAATTTGCATGAGAATTATAAAGGGAATTCGTCAAATTCTTGAAGAATTAAGTTAATGCTGTAAACACTGAAATACCGCAGATATTAAGGTGTGGCAAATATGAATCGATACGTCCATAGTCTCGATTTATTTGAGAAATCAGGATGAAATAGCGGGCAATTCGGGATGTGAAGTTATGTAGAAGTATATTTCAACTCTATATTAGGTTCTTCAGTAAGAAAATACAATTCAACTGTAAATAGTTTACCGGCTCAAACTGTGATGAATACATTCTCATGGAGTTGATTGTCAGTAATAAATTATGCTACCAAAGACTCATAAAATAAAACGAATGACTTGGGTGAGGCAAGAACCTGCATACTTTAGTACTGCGTTTGCAGTCCTTCATAAATATCCAAAGGATACTAACCTGGCGCTGCCCTAATCCGTATTATCTGCCTGGTCCTAAGAAATGCCGTCTTAACTCGAAGGCGTCGAATATCTATTGCTTGTAGCAGAAAAATCATGATGACTCGTGTGACACTGGAATATATGCAATAGTCTTCTAAAATGAACCAAACTCAATAAATGATTGCAACTGGTCCATCCACTACAGAGTAGGGCTTGCATACCAAATATGTGAGTTGTAGTAATATGCTCAAAGGCTTTTGTTAGTGAAAACCTAATTCCACGAATTCAGAGCGTCAATTTGACTTTCCTGTTTCTAGGAAATCAAACGATTGCGACATATTGAGCAATGCGGTTTTATTAAGGCCTTAAATAACACCGGAACTGTAGTCGGAGTTGACAGGATCAAAAATATATAAAATAAAATTATCTTAATTACTTATCACTCTTCAGGGAGTCTATGTCTTCGTGTTACCCTGACTAAAAGAACTAAAACTAAATCACGATCATGATTTTGCGGTTGGAGGTATATTGAATTCTCGTTGCTAGGTTTGTTTATACAACACTGAAAGTGCGTCATTACGAAGTTTCCTAGAAAACTGAGAAACCCGAGAGGGTCGACCTTTCCTTAATATTGTGTCCACTGGCGGAAAGCCCAAGATCTCGCAAATCAGTAGAGACCGGGAAAAAGTGAAATCTTAGAAAGCAGAGAGCTTAGCACTGAAGACCTAGTAAACGTAGCCTTCAAGAAAGTAATATATATGGATATTTTGAGAAATGTTCTTTTTTAGGAAAAAATCATCTCATTAAAAATGTGGGGTTGTTGTGGTTGGCTCGCAAGTCTGCAGCGTGATACTTAACTTCGCAAGCTTTAGCCTCTGGTTCCAGTTAGAACCTCCAGATGCTTTCATTTACTTACCTAATGAAAAATCATAGTTCTTGGTTTCAAATCTATTCTCATTCCATTCTTTGCTCGGAACTGAGAAAGTAATGATCTAGCTTCTTCGACGGAAATTGTTAAATAAAACTGCGATATTCTCCATAGGAAAGAAGGTTGCTCAGCAAAACTAACAACTAGTTTTAAAAGAAAGTTGGTGTAAGATAGCATGAAGAAAGAAAAAGGCTCTTTTGCTTCTACTTCAAGCTCACGCGGCGGGCAGCTTGAAATGGTCACATTAATTTTGGGAACTATAAAATCTGTATATTACTTATTCATTTGGTTCACGAGAGATGTACACCCAGATTCTGTTGAGCGAATGTATAAGAGGAGCGAATGAATCACACGTAAAACCGGCTGATTTAATTACTCTTGCTCCTCAAATTTACAGGGATCGGAACACCGCCGCTGCAAGTACTGCTGAGCGAATGAATGAACTATATGAAATATTTGTTAGTCATAAAGAGTGACAATTTATACACATATTCCAAGAAAGAATCTCGATGAGCTTTAAACTGTCTTATTATATCAGCCCGTTTGTATAGGTTTGCTATTTCGCTGAACTCTATTAGGAATACACTAATAATTCATGATTCCTTCCATGAATGTCAAATGATCCGTCGTAAACAAGCGACTTAGAGAATCTAATCCACATACCCCTTACCACTCTTTCTCGACAGGAAAATATTCGACATTCCGTTCATTTTTTACGCACCCGTCCAGCGGTGCACGATCTGCGAACTGAAATCGTCATGTAAGCTGATCATGAATAGTGATATGTTTGACCTTACTTACTTGAGCGAATGAATAATTTATATAAAATATTGGGTTAGTCATAAAGAGTGACAATTTATGCTTGTATTCCAAGAAAGAGTCTCGATGAGCTTTAAACTTTCTTATTATATCAGCCCGTTTGTATAGGTTTGCTATTCCGCTGAACTCTATTTAGGAATACACTTATAATTCATGATTCCTTCCATGAATGTCAAATGATCCTTTCTAAACAAGCGACTTAGGGAATCTAATCCACATACCCCTTACCACTCTTTCTCAACAGGAAAGTATTTGACATTCTGTCCATTTTCTGTGCAACCGTCCAGCGGTGCACTATCTGTGAATTGAAATCGTCATGTAAGCTGATCATGAATAGTGATATGTTTGACCTTACTTGGGCGGTGCAAGCAAATCAGGTCTGAATTTTGTTTGGGAAGACCATTGGTGTAAAAGTAGCAGAGATTGTGGGCTAAAAAAAAATATATATTCATTCAATAGGAATATTCCTGAAGCTCTTCGTTTTTATCAGAGCATTGCTGCCACAGACCTTTTGAAAGTAAAATAGTGAATTCGACAAAACTATAGAGAACGATTTAAAACCAAACGTGGATGACAGTGAAGAGGAATGACAAAATACAACAGCAACATGTACACTTAAAAATGTTACTTTATTTGAAGCGCGTGCATTCTATCTTTCACGTTTATCTTGAATTAACTCTAAAACTTCGCTGGGCTCAAAGAAGTTGCCCTTTTGCGCTGTAAATTCTACTGTTTTGGTTTTACATTTGATTCAAACAAATTAACAACGTTTCCGGCTGGTTTATATCTTGCCACCACGTACACGTTAGTGTTGTCTCTGGTTTTCGCCTTTGCCATTCCAATTTCATTAGTGGCACCCCAAACCAACTGCAAAGGAAACGGAATAAACCAGAGGGCTTAAAATCATCATGTATTGTTAAGTATTAAAGTTAAAACCAAGATATTATTATTATAGATATTCATATCTGGCCACTGATGTAAGACATTTTTCAATTCATACATTCGTTCATTTCAAGGTTGCGCTGTCGACCGAATGCCATTAATTCCATTCTGTCGGCTCTGATTCCGACTCTGATTCCAATTCTACACAAGATAGTTTTAACAGACGAGTATATCCTGATCGTATGAAGGCTCAAAGCTTAGGACAGTACGTGATAACTGTTTTAGGTTTATGTTAAAGCAATCGTGTTCTTACCTGTGAATAGTGGCCGGTGTCTGTGGAGAACTTGGGATCTTCATAGTTGTACAGAGACACTTCATTATACCATGCATCAATAGCTCGCAGTAGGGCCTTGTCTTCACTTCCTACCTCAGCCAGATTTTCGCCGTAATCAGTCGAACTTTCGTTCTCATGTACAAGTCTCTGTTCTTTGGCTAATTTGTCGGCCCAGTCTTGTGCTTTAGCAGCTATCTCCTTGTTCCAGGTTACTGGTGGAGCCTGATGCATAGCTCTGTACATGTTTGTTAGCATCAATGCGTCTTTACTTTCGTCAGCATTTGGACCTAACCGCGACCAAATGATAAATACACAACGTTTAGGTAGAATTGTCAAGTCTGCGCGACTAGTCTGAAAGAAGTTACTTTTTCCCTTTCAAGAAACATTTAAACAGACATCGAATTTTCCAATTCTACCACAACCTACAAGAAGTAAAAATTTCAAGGATAAAATGCTAGCTTGGCTATTTCTTTTAATCCTGCCGTTTTGTGAAATTCTAGTGAACTAAGACAACCATTCGTTTCCGTATTTTATGTGTGACGCTCCTATCCGATAACTTCATTTCAAACAAGCTCTCTTACCCCTTTCTTCACACAGTTCTCCCCAGTATCCATCGGGACAGGAACAGGTAAATTTCCCCTCCTGAGCTTCACAGGTGCCTCCGTTCTTACATGGGTTTGGCTCACACGGGTTTGGAGGAGCAGGTGTCGTAGGAGGCATCGAAGGCGTTGGTGGCGTCGTTACTACAAGTTAAAAAAGAAATATTTTATAGAACTTTTCTGGACCAAAATTATAGCAGAATAGACCACTCAAATATCCATAGAAATGTTCTCTTACATGCATCAAGGTTATAGGGTCTAAAACCTACTGACTAAGAAATTAATGTCACAGTTAACAGTCAATTTATATTGTTTACTTATTTTATGTTACACACGCATTGTCATGATTCAGGTATTGCACTAGTTTCAACCAAGGATGATATACTTTATTTATTTTGTTTGTTTGTTTGGCGAAATATTATTGTGGTATATGGACCACCGTGAAATTACTGAAATAGATACTCCACATGGATGGGTTTGTTTGAGGCTGGTCACTTTTCGGTAGTACATTAAAGACCATTAAACTAATATAGAAGTTGTAACGAAAGTAAACTACAATCTTCGAGTTAGAAGAGGAACCGAACAAGATTGCCAAATTAAGTGCGTGGGAAGTCGTCTATATCTTTTATTGGCAAATTTCACAGTTAACCGTTATCATGATTTGTAAATGTTATCATGGTTAGTAGGAAACGATTGAAATGTATATCCAAAGTAGGCGAGATGAGGACTGGGTAGCCTGGTACCCACTTGTTTTGTGGATAATCATTTGCAGCCACATCGCTAGTGCTTAATTTAACTTCCATCTGCTGATCCACGGGCATGTCCCCTCTGTATCAATCTTACAGCGGTAGCTGTTAAGTGTACTTAAGTGTTATTTTTGTTAAGCTGCTGTTAGATCTATAACAGAGAAAGAAAAATAAGAAAACAGACAGGTTTCTTGTCAGCTCAAAGAAATTAAAACTAAATAAATTAGGACAAATTTTCAATAAACTGTACTTCGTGACGGTAAGGGCGCGTTCATACGAATTGTGCAAGTCTTTTTTTTTTTGAAGGTTTAAATAAAATGTATTAATTCGGCTGATAGGAAATACTCAAACTAACGAATCGGAAACGGTGGTCACATATTCCATCTATTTCGCGTTTCTGTACTTGCTGCATTGGAAAATTGCCTCATCTAAAAAAGCCTAACGAAAACTGTCGGGGAACAAGTGCCGTTTTGGGAAATCCTCGTTCAGTCATGAACCCGACATTTCTCCGATTACTATTCATAACCAATCAGATATAAGCTCCAGCTGTTCGAAAGATGTCCATCACATCTTTTTCCGGCAACATCCCTGCCCAAAAACGATCGGGGTTTAAGTTGATTCTCTGAGACGCGATTCCAACCGAAAACGGTACTTGTTTCCCTCGAGTGAATACTTGAATCATGCCGTTAGTGCTTTTGAACGCACCCTTTCCGCCTCCAGTCTCGCATTGGCATTCTGTACCTGTTGTGGGAGTTGTTTGGGTGGTTGGTTCTGTTGTGACATTAGTTATTCCTGGTTTTGTTGTTGGCTTAGTTGTTTCCTGTCCCGGCGTAGTCGTTGGTGTAATGGTCGTCGATTCTGTAGTTACTGTCGTTGACTGTTCTGGCTGGCCTGTTGTAATTGTAGTTGTCGCTCCTGTACTCGCTGTACTTTGAGTAGTCAGAGTTGTTAGTTGTGGCTGTACCGTAGTCGAGGTTGTCAACGTTGTTGGTGTTGTCTCAGGTGTCGCAGGGGTTGGAGATGTCAGTGCTGGATTGACAGTAGTTACTGTTGTTGGAGTAGTGAGCTCTGGTTTTGTTGTTGGAGTCGATTCCTCTGTGCTTATAGTAGTAGAAGTTGTCGGTGTTGTCTCAGGTGTCGCAGGGGTTGGAGATGTCAGTGCTGGATTGACAGTAGTTGCTGTTGTTGGAGTAGTGAGCTCTGGTTTTGTTGTTGGAGTCGATTCCTCTGTGCTTATAGTAGTAAAAGTTGTCGGTGTTGTGAGTTCCGGGGCTATTGTAGATTCTGTGGTCACACTGGATTCTGGAGTTCCCGTTGTTCCCGTTGTTTGTCCTGGAATTAACGTTGTCGGAGTTGAGTGTGTATCCGGACTTAGTGTCGTCAAAGATGTTGGTGATGTTTCCCCTGCACTAATCGTGGTTTCAGTTGTTGGTAATGTTTGTGGAGTGGTAATCTCTGGTTTTATTGTAGTTACAGACGTTGGAGTTGTTTGTCCAGGTGTTGTTGGAGATTGCTGTGGTGGTGGCGTAGTTGTAGGTGTTAATGTTGTTATCTCTGGATTCACTGTAGTAATTGTACTCGAAGTAGTTTCTTCTGGATTTACTGTAGACGAAGACTCTGGCTTTGTTATAGTTGCTGTAGTCGGTGTTGTCTGTCCGGGAGCTTGTGTAAGAGGCGTAGTTGTTTCTTCTGGGCTTACTGTAGAAGAAGACTCTGGCTTTGTCGTAGTCGCTGTGGTCGGTGTTGTCTGTCCGGGAAATTGTTGAGGTGGGGGCGTAGTTGTAGGTGTTAATGTCGTAAGTTCTGGATTTGCCGTAGTTATCGTGCTTGAAGTAGTCTCTTCTGGATTTACTGTAGAAGAAGACCCTGGCTTTGTTGTCGTTGCTGTGGTCGGTGTTGTCTGTCCAGGAAATTGTTGTGGGGGAGAAGAAGTTCCAGGTGTTAATGTTGTTAGTTCTGGATTAGTTGTAGTTGCTGTACTTGAAGTCGTTTCTTGCGGATTTATTGTTGATGAAGTTGTAGATTGTGGTTTTGTTGTAGTTGCACTTGTCGGCGTTGTTTGTCCTGGTGTTGTTTGTGATTGCTGCGGAGGAGGCGTAGTTGGAGGTGTTGATGTTGTAAGCTCTGGATTCGCTGTAGTTAGTGTACTTGAAGTTGTTTCTGAAGTGGTTAGGGAAGTTAGCTCAGGGTTTATTGTAGTTATGGTTGTCTGTGTTGTTGACTCTGGGCCTACAGTAGTGACTGTAGTTTGTGTTGTTGTTATTTCTGGGTTAACAGTTGTTGGAGTCGTTAATTCTGGTTTTAATGTGGTGACGGTCGTTCCCGTAGTGGACTCTGGACCTACTGTGGTTGGTGTTGTTATTGTTTCTGGTTTCGGTGTTGTTGGAGTTGTTTGTGTCGTTGTTGTAGACTGTTCAGGTTTTAGGGTTGTCATATTTCCTGGTAATGTCAAAGAGAGCGGCGGGTTGAACAGTTTAAAGGTGTACTTGTTAAAATCACTTGGCTTTTTACAAACGCATCTGCTTTAAAAAGCGCGCATGCCAAAAGAGGAATCTGTTCACTCCTTCAAGAAAAATTTATCAAAAAAGTATCGCTGAATATAACTGAATTTAAGTCAAACTTGGATCCGAAGAGAACAATCGGACTTATAATCAGGATAATTACTGATTGTCATTTTTAGATGTCATGTGTTAAAATTGTAGTGATTACTTTGGTTGCAAAAATTCTTATTTGGTGAAAAAATGCAGTCACTGCGTACAGAAAAGGATTCGGGAGACAAGCTCGACCTGATTGTAAGAACAAGAGGGGCATAATTTACGTGCAATTTGAAATGTACAAAGTTCTCACCTGAACAATATCACCATCGCTATCCATTGTGTTGAACAAATTCTGTATAATTTGACGTTTGGTTATTGGTTATCATGTTTACTGTTAAACAGATACTATATTTTGTCAACGACAAAACTCGGTTAATTTATCACAAACTAATTCATTACTACGATAATTAATTCAATTAAAACAGTATGGATAATTAAAATAACCTTAGAAATTATCATTGTTACAAAGTGCTGCATTTGAATAGTTTAACGTAAAATTTCTCTATAAGCCGTTCACTCATGGGTACAATAATCCTTTGCATTTTTATAAGAGCCTGACATCTTTTCGTACAACCATTCTTCTTCAACACTGGTCAAAACTGACGAAATGGCATACTGCTGACTTCGCTTACAGGGATTTGTGTTGTGTTTGCAGGGATGTATGCTGCGGGCAAAATTTCAAAACGGAGTGAAACCTAATCCGATAAACGACATGAATCTCTGGAGAAGGAGGATCGCAGAAAGAATGTAACACCCGACAGGAAGGGTGCCTTACTCATGGTAGACTTGTATAAAACTAGGCAAATCAAAGAGGGGGTGTCTTGAATTTCTTCCCTAGACAAATCATGAAACGACTCTAGCCATCGAAACGAAACCCATCCATGAAAGTTGCCAATATATCCTAATCAGGCCTCAGTTTACAATAAAGTGAAGAGCGTCAACAATTTAGTAGTAAACATCATCGTGCACTGATTTGTCCAATTGCGCATTTGTATCGTAATGCTTCGACTCGGTTAAATACATAGCATGATAGCATGAAACAGAGCATGATATTACACCCGTTACTTATCGTAATACAAAAAGTTGCAGTTGTTATACAATCTTCATTCCATTAGATGTGCTATAAACTATTCATGCCAAATTATAGGTATGTTCTTACAAAAACAAATAAACAAACAAACAAACAAACGAACAAACAAACAGACAAACAAATGAATAAAGACAACAACAACAACAACAACAAAAACAAACAAGGATTAAATGTTAGGTGTTGAGTCTTCCAGGGAATTAAGAGTAGTAAAATCTTTCATGTGACTTTCTCATTGCGTGCTTGGAATGTACTAACGCCTTTCGATGGCATTACCATATCAATGTGTTAATTTCTGATCAATGAGCGTTTTTAAACTGGCTTTATGAGTGGTGATAAGAGTTTGACCATGACTAATTCTTGACTAACATGTAGTGTAAGACAGTTGTATGCTTAAACAGCGTGTCTCGTATCGTGTGGACTGGAGCAAGCAACAGCATGGAGGCTTGTTGTTCATTTAGCATGCTGTTACCTGTTACGTTTACAACTGCTCTTGTTGTTGTCGGGCGAGTGCTACCTAAAGAGATACAACTCTAAGGCATTTCAAGGAAGCCGAAGTTACTATTCAGAAATAACGGGTACGTTTCCAAGGTTGTTGTCAATGGACTGCCGTGATCTTACACATTACTAAGAAGAGCTGGGAAGACAATACACATTAGAAACAACTAGCCCCTTTGACAAAACGTAGATGCTTAATCGCTATACATTTATATATCAACGTCTATTCAGTTTAAGATTGGGCTTTTGCAAAGTAGCGTTACAAGTTTTGCTCTTAGTTATAATTTATTGTAGAGGGTTGGGCAAGTAGCAGCATGCAGGCTCGTTGTTCATTAAGCATGCTGTTACCTGCTTCGGTCTTAGGTGGTCCTGTTTTTGTACGGCGAGCGCCACCTAGCAAAACACAAGCCTAGCGTTTGTAAAGTAAACCGATGGCTTCTAAATTACAAAGTGATCAAAAATAGTTAAATACAAGACGATAAATAACCAGCGAGGGGCGTAGCGTCTAGATGGTTGCAATCATCCCGAATTCATCAAAAGCTAATGGGATACATACATACCTACCTACCTACCTACCTACCTACCTACCTA